TTTTTCATCCGAAGGATAAACTAACTTTCAAAAAAAAAAAAAAAAACAGTCCAGAGGACAGAGCGTGGGCTAAAATTGTGTTGTTTCCTTTTGTCTAAATTTGCAGATAAAGTTACTGGCTGACAAAAATAATATTGCACTTTGCTCTACTTAGAATGACATTAAATATTACTAATTGGTAATCTCACCAAACACAACGGAAATGAACACATTACTTTCAACCCTAGAAAGTTTGGAGTAAAGATTCTAGTTCAGCACTACGGAGAGCCAAGTTGATCTTTTGATAAATGATCACAGACTTTTTGACAAAAATGGGCATAATTTCCATATCTCCCCGTGAAGATTTTGACACCTGCCACATTATGACCACAAATTTCTGTATCATTTAGGTGGGATCTTATATGATTGACCAACACAAAATAGAGAATAAAGGTAATATGGAATGATATTAATGTGTAGTTTTCCCATTTCTTTTCAAGTAAAAATCTGGAAACTGTGGCATACAGTAGTATGAGCCCCCCCCAACCCCTTTCTTATGAACAAAATTCAGTGAAGACTAAGAAACACAGCAGGCAGCTCAGGGATAAGGACTTTACAGAAGACATACGTTATTAAACAACATCCCAACCTCATAATCCTGAAAGCTGTGAGAGCATGGACTCCCTGTAAACCTAACAAGACACCTGAACTTACAGGCCGGGACAACAATAATCATGCTGGGTTCCATCCATCTCAGAAGTCAGAACCCCAAACAGGTGTTTCGGGTCACACCAGGGGTAACAGCATTTCAGATAATACAGACAAAGAAGTCCGGATTTAAGCACGGTGATACCCAAGAAACCATTGTTCTCCATTCCTCTTATGAATCTCTTGGCGTGTGAACAAACACCGCTTTTAATTTATTCAGTTTAGTGCTGCAGGTTCTAAGTATAACATTGATCTTAGACGCATGTTTACAAGTGAGTCTTGTAAAAAAAAAAAAACAACAAAAAAAACCCCCATGTTTCCACCACAGCTTACTACTGTTGATGCGAGGAGCGGCCATATTGAAATGTGAAGCTGGCCTCGAAAATCCTAACTTGAGCGTTTCTCCCACCTTCCGAGTGGGAAGTTGACTTTGGGGAAGGGGGGTATTCCAGTTTATTTTATTGACTAGAAAGTTGTCATTTCTCAGAATTTAACACACCAATACACCAGAGAGCCAAGAGACTCATGATCTGAATGTACAGCAGGAAATACGCCGCTCAAAATCAGTTAAGACATCCATCAGTCATGCTAAACACTAGCCTTTATGGAAAAGAGGCACAGACAAAGCTGTTGCTACATGAAAGCTACTAGAAGCCATTGAAAATTACTTTCTTTTTTTTTTACACAGCAAACAAGCTTTTTGAAGAAAACTTTGTGTCTGGAGAAAGAATATCACCAAGCATCATACTTATAAGTCCAACATGAAAGATTTTTGTTGATGGTAGCATAATGCTGTGGGGATCCATTATTTCAGCAGGAGCAGAGAAGCTTGTCAAAGTTAATGGAAAGATGGTTGGAGCTAAAAAATAAGGGATTACTACAATACAACCTCTAAGAGGCTACAAAAGATTTGAGCCTAAGTTCATCTGCCAGAAGGAAAATGATAATAATAAAAATATCAGAGCAGCAACAGAATGATTTATATCAGACCACATTAATATATTTGTAATTTGGTCTATTGTCAAATAATGTGCAAATATTTCCATCATCTTATCTGCAAAAGGAGAAGAAAACACAAAAGGCTTGTTACTTTAGCTGCAGCTTAAACTGGGATCAAGAAGTATTGATATTTTTACGTTGATTCTCAATAAACACAAAGTTGGAGGCTGCACTATGAAACAAGAATGGGAAGCGTTCATTAGGTGTTTTCATTCATAACCCTTTTGTGATACAGGTGAATCCCATTGAAACAGAAGGCCTTATTTTCAATAGACCCTGTATCAGCCAAGCATACAGGGGACTAAATAAACTCAAAAATGTATGTTGTAAAACAAGAGCTAATCATCTGCATGGAGCCTATTTACAGCAGCACGAGTCTTGCAAGAGTAGACAAATAATCTGTGATCAGCATTAACCTCAAATAAGCCACAAATGATCAGTCCTACCCTCCACTAAATACTCCTAGTTATTAGAGGGGTAAGCAAGAAAGGGGCTATTAATTCTGGTAAATAATTTAACTGCTCAGACAAACATAAACACACTTCCCTTACTGCCTTATCCACTCAGAAACCATCTTCTGAAGTGAAGTGGTCTAATTTATTCCTCTAACAGCCTTTACAGCCTGTGTGTCTCTTCTTTAAAGCCATAAAAAGGCGCAGTGATGCTGGCTCCAAAACACCGCTTGAAGCAGCATGAGTCACCTTCCCACCCACTTTGGTCAAAGCGCTCACTCCTGTCTAATAGAAATTACTTCATAATATATATATATATATATATATATATATATATATATATATATATATATATATATGCAGGCACGGACACACGGGCATCAAGCAGCAGATAATTCAACAGTTTTGGTTTTCGTTTTTTACCTGCAGCCGACGAGAGCGCTTGTTGAAAACTGGATAGGATGAGGACGACTTGGAGGATTTATCCGCGGTTTCTCTGCAACTTCTCAAGTCGGACATCCGTGTTGGCTGATGTGTTCAAGCAGAGGAAGAAGAGCGTCACCTCGACGATCAAGCAGCTGAAAACCGCCGTTTTGCCCCTCTGACGCCTTTTTTTTTTTTTCCTCCGCTGAGTTTGTGGGTCTCCTCCGATGGTAGAAGCAAAAAGCCCCGCTCCGCTGCCGTCTCCATGTTCGGGCTCTACATCTCGCCTTTTTATTTATTTATTTATTTATTTTTTTATTCGCTCAAAGACGTCAAATTGAGAACCGGAGAGACAGATTGATGGGTGAGCAAAGGGAGACGAGGACTGGCTGTGTCTGTCAGGCGAGTCGGGATACAGACTGAGGCTCTGCAGCAACCAACCAACACACCAACTCAGGAGAGAGGACGGAGCGGTGGGGGGTTTGGGATGAATCGCTTTACTGTGTTTAGGCGACAAGTCATCCATTTAGAGTCAGTTATCGTGCTTTAATACGAGTGTCCAGAGCCGGACCAAGATTCAATGGGGCCCGAAGTGGAATTTATATTTTTGGGGTCCCATTCATAGTTAAATTATTGCTATTATTTTATTATTGTTTTATTTAAGTGAGGGTTTGTTGAGCTGTTATTGATAACAGTTCCCTAACTTATAGAAAAATGTCACATCTGTACTTAGAGATAGGGGCTGGGAATACCTGGACAAGGAACATGCACAGCTATTTTCATATTTATTAATCAGACTCCGCTGTTCCCCGTCATATACACACACATACATCCAGGTCCTTATTTAAAAAAATAATAATAATAATAATAACGTCCTGTTTAAGTCATTATTGTCAGCCTTTGATTCTGTTCAGTCGATGTTCAACATCGCCGTCTCCCATAACATAAAACACTATGGAACTTAAAAAGAAGTCTTCCTATAAAACATACTGGGGGATTATGGGAAACCAAACTAAATAGTCAGAATGGACCTTTCTGTGTTGTTTTTTTTTCCCTGTTCAGGGAACAAAATTAACTTAGTGCAAGGTGAAGATTCAGTGCCACTTCTGAAATGAAATAGGACTTAGAAACATGAAATGCATTCAGGACCAGAGACAGCTCTCAGTGCACCGCATAACTAGGCCAAACATTTGCTCCCATTCTGCCCGTCTGGTTTTTTTTTTACTCAGTAAATCCAGTTGAAAAAGCCCTGAAGACGTACTGAGACTGTACATGACATACAATGTCTGGTAGATATCAACAAGAAGGTACAGATAGAGTGAAAAGACAACATTCGAACTAATGTGAGACAATACAGCAGGACTGTAAGGTTGTTGCTTATGGCCGCCCTCTGCCTGTAACATTTAAATACTTTTATCCCCCTGTGGGTCAAAAGACCATGGCGAGAGCTGGCCAAAAGGACATAAAAACTAAGCTGCTGTTTAGGATCTATTGCCAGCAGGGGGATTCAAAGAGCACTCAACTTCCATAAGCGATATACTGAAGATATTAAAGTGTAAAACCTCAGAGTTGACGATGAATGCCTTAACCTTCAAATGAGTTTGAATTAATTACAACAATTAATTAGCAATCATTTTTGCTTGCAACTCAAAACTATCACTCTTCACATCTGCTTTTTTATTGTTCATGGATGTTTTGTGTTGTTACAGCTCTACAAATTAATACATTACTTTCAGTTCAGCTAATACTTTCATATTTCATCATATTACAGATTTTTTTTGACTGAGTTTCATTCCTAACCACCATGAGTAGAGCTGCATATAAGTTGATTTCTTCTTATTTTGGGGCTTGAAGGGGCAAGACTGCATTGCAATTGATATTTATATTTAAAAAAAATTATAAATATCAATATTCCTGTCAACACTAATGTTAAATGCTAAATCTGTATTTCACCAATGATCCAGTATTCTCTCTGAAAAATGTATCTCATCAGATTACTTTTGATTATGTTGATTTGTATTTTTTTGATGCTTTTCCCCATTTTTATTCAAAATTCTCTTCAAAGGCATTTGAACTAAATGAGTCAAATCCTACCACTTCCGCCAACTACAGGACAGCCTACCATTGCCATGGAATAGGAAGTAGTAAGAGGGCGGAAAAGAAATCTAACCCTCAGGAGTCAAAAAGAGAGAAGTAATTTTGGCAAGTTGCATCGTCTTCGTTTGCTGTAGTTTCTTCATCCACAGTAGCCTGGAGGTCATTGGAGTCAAACTTTGACTCAAACTTTTACTTTTGAATCACTTGAAACTTAAATGTAGCTGAAATGCTTCAGAATGTGCCAAAATCTACCAATGCCAGCTGATCGGCTTGATTCTTGTGCCTTTTGTGATGTCACCCACCCATACACACAAACACAATTAGAAGTCTTTTTCCCCAGTGAGCCTTCTGCAAACTTTGTATTTTGTGAAATCCGGCAGTATGAGTACATGGCAGACATTCCACGTCTACAAGCCAAATGCATTTTTATTCTGAATGTCCATCTGTCAGTAAAAGTAAGATGCACTACCATCAAATATCTATAGGTACCTACTTGTGTTTGCTCACAGGAGTTTCTTTAAAATAAAATGAGCATTTAAGTTTGACTGTGTTGGATCCAATTTATTCATAATAAAATAACATGCAAACTTTTATTTATGAGCTAATTTAATTTTCTAAATTTAGAGTGCACTTCATTAATGTGTGGAAATGAGAAACTCGGAATTAAGGTGGCAGGGTCATGTGACGGACCAGCTGATAAACAGATGGTCCCCCTTCCTCCCTCTCTCAGTCTTACTCTCTCGCAAACATGCACCCACAAACAAGCCAGATAAATGACACTGCTTCTTATCCAAAGAAAAATTAAGTCTTGAACAATCCGATCTTATTTTATTGACATGCCTAGAAAAATTTGAGAGTGGAGAGCCTTACACTCGCATCACGACCAACCAGTTTTGAATATTTTTTTCTAAGCCGATCACCTGTTTCCCACTGTGATCTCTCTTTTTATGAATCACCCTGCTCAGATCTGTATTTTTAGAGAATCGTGGCAACTTAAAAGTCCAGTTCGCACTTACTCCAGCGCGTGCTGATGCACCTGTCCGCCCCTGCTAAACGTTTCCATCTGAATAGACAGCTGGTGTCAGTTCTGCAGCGTTTTGCTCTGCGGGTAATTGGATTTCAAATTTAGTGGAGGGGACGCAGCCAAGTTAATCAACGCACGTTCAGACCGGCTGAGTCGGAGGGAGTGCAGCAACATTTGATTTGTTTTTGTCAGCACGGATTATGGGAGAGGTAATTCTGTGAAAGCAGCACAATGGAACGGTATTTACTCATGCAGCAGTGGCGAATGTGAATATCAGCATAGTTTCCTCTCAAATCGACGTCTTGCCCTGTTCCCCTGTGCGGTTTGTTGAACCAGCGCAAGACAGAAATCTCCTTTTTATCCGACTCCTCCTGGGATTCCGACTACAAGGGGAAACAGACAAAAACACATTCAGAGGACCCTCTGCGTGCATGCGGGAAAATTATCTTGGAAAAGAAAAAAAATAAAGGAAAAACTCACTGGAGAATCTGGCTGGGCATAAAACAAGTAATCACAGTCGATAATGAGTGTGTTGCTCAATATTAGAGCAAGTGTAAAGTACAACTAACACTGTACTGTGTGTGATTTCAACCAACTGGGATGGAAGTGCTATATATATCAGCATGTCAACACCCTTAAAATGTGATACAAAGCCTTGCTTGTTTGATTAATTATCTCAGATGTGAAGTTTTTGAAAGAAGGATTTGCTGCAGTTGCACATTGTGGGTTTGGAGCCCTAATTCTGCAACATGTTTGTGGATATGAATATATACAAGTATGAACGTAATGAGGTCTCAAAGGTTTTAACATTTTGGGTTTAAATTAAGAACTTAAAAAGAGAAAGACTTTTTATAAGAGAAGAGCTACAGCCCTTCAAATAATGCATTAAAATAAATAGGAAAATGAGACTTTAGGAGTGTTTCTATTTTGTTCGCCTCAGTTTTTGGTCTTTTCAGATATCTGCCTTTGCCGACTCACCTTTCTTCTGTTGTCTCTTCCGTCCGTATGTGTTCTGCCAGGGTTCATTTCTGCTTTCCTAGATAATTTTGTCTCTTTACATCAACTTCTCATCATACCTTTTATATTCTATCTGAATGTCATCTAGTTCTGTAGCACTTTGTAATTAAAAGATCCCCCTTAGTCTTCACCTGCTTCCTGGTTCTGCTTTTTAGGTTCGAGATTTCAGACTGATGTCCGTCAGTGAAGAAACAATAGCTGGTTTCATCCACAAAATACATTCATAAATTGTCCTTCTGTAGAAAGTGGAGTCCATGATCATCAGCAGGCAAGGCAGGTGAAGAGAAGCATAATTTAGAAACTGAATCAATACAAATTAACAGTCATGTCAAAACAATACAAGGATGGCAATGAGAAAGCAGATTTTTTTCAAAAGAAAGAATATTTATTAAAAATGTCAAAATCTCAAAGGGCATCAAGACTTTCTTCTAAATTCCAGCGACAGCGACATGAAGTTCCAGAGGTCAACCTCATTGCTGCCGACTCACCAACCCAGACACCCAGTAGGAGTTTACGCTGATGAGCGTCTTCAGCCTGGACATGTTGAGGGACAGAGAGCGATCCACAGGCAGTGGATCCCTCCGTGACCTTCCAGCTGGATTAGCAGGATGACGACGACGATGTGGATACTATTTTGCTGTCAAAATTAAAGCAGTGCCTCTTACTTACTGAGCCAATTCAAACGTCATTAATACAGTAAAAGATCACTCAATAGATGACTGCACTGTAATCTGTTGATGCAGTCAGTTTATTTTTTCAGCTTGACAAAAGACAGTGAATACACTTTCAAAATGCGGCATCTGCTGGTACCGTCGAGCCATGGGATCGGGGGCAAAAGGAGCCCAAATGTAGCTAGTTTATCTTAAACTTTGGGAATAAAAAAATATATTTATTAGAACTTTTACATCTTTCAGCTATTTGTTTTTCTCACTTAGGCCTTTTCCACCAATGTGGTGAAGATCCTGCTCCAGTTCCTGAACGTGTTTTCAAACTGGTTTCCTGGGTTCCCACAGAAATAGTCGGGTTCCGAAACCCAAACTATGGTTCAACTTGAGCACCACAGAACAGCTGCTTGTTCTATGAGAACCGTGACATCAGCCTTTGGCCGGTCAACAGCTGGATAAAAAGACTGGTTATTTGAACAAAGAAACAAACAAGCGTGGCAGATAATAATGTGTAGTGGTCTTGAGGAAAACCAGCAGCTGATTTTATTTTGGGCTGACTGGAGCACTAGAAACCAGAGATATCAGTCTCTGTTATGTGCAGCAAGAATGAACACTGCATTTACAATTGGCCAAAAAGTCTGAATCATTAACTGGAAGGAAGATGTAGTAGTAACTCATAAAGCTCCACCGGCTCCTCCATCTTGCCACTACACTTGTATAACAACCACTGGTGATGACATATACTTTGTTCCCCTAAGCTGGTGGAAATGGGAATCAGCTCTCAACAACCAGTTAAAAATTGAGAGTTCTTTCAGTGGAAAATACCTTTCTGTGTTCTTTTTTGTATTTCTGTGATGAATTGTAGTGGAACTAATAATAAAACAAAGAGGATAAGAAATAATCACAGGATAACTGTGCCATTAATTAGCTATCTTTTATCCAAATACCACAATGCTGAAGAAACAAAACTAACAAATGGGTTTTTTTTTCCAATGTAGCCCATGAAAACCATGCCAATGACAATTTTTAAAAAGGAAGCTAA